TGGGGACAGTCCCTGAGACTGGGGGGCACACGGTGGCTGGCAGTGAGTGGGGACAGTCCCTGAGACTGGGGGGCACACGGTGGCTGGCAGTGAGTGGGGACAGTCCCTGGGATCAGGGGCACACGGTGGCTGGCAGTGAGTGGGGACACAGCTCAGGTGGCACATGGTGGCTGGCAGTGAGTGGGGACACTCTAAGATGGTGACAGTGAGTAGGGACACTGAGCTCAGGTGGCACCCAATGGGTGGCAGTGAGTGAGGACACTCCATGAGCTCAGGTGGCACACGGTGGCATTGAGCAGGGACACTGAGCTCAGGTGACACATGACAGAGAGCAGGGACACGCCGTGAGCTCAGGTGGCACACGGTGGGTGGCAGTGAGTGGGGACATCTGAGATGGTGGCAGTGAGTAGGGACACTGAGCTCAGGTGTCACACTGTGGCAGTGAGCAGGGACACTCTGAGATGGTGGCAGTGAGCAGGGACACTAAGCTCAGGTGTCACATCGTGGCAGTGAGTAGGGACACTCTGTGAGCTCAGGTGGCACACAGTGGGTGGCAGTGAGTGGGGACATCTGAGATGGTGGCAGTGAGCAGGGACACTGAGCTCAGATGTCACACTGTGGCAGTGAGCAGGGACACTCTGAGATGGTGGCAGTGAGCAGGGACACGTGGATTTTTTGTTTCTTTTTTGGTTTTTTGTTTCTTTGGATGGTATTTCTCATTTGGGCTCAGATATTTATCAGTTCTTATCTACATTACACTCTCACAAACTGTGAATTTTACAGTAATTTACTCCAACAAGCTAAAAATGGAGCCCCACCTCTCTCTCTCTACAAGGCCTTTTAAGGATAAACTGTCCAATTAAGAAATGACACCTAAATTATTTTGATTTTGAAATAATTAATTTAGTTATTAATTAAATTAATTACCTGTGACTTGCAATGTGGAATTTTTTATCCACTTACACAAAACCACCCAAACCCATGGAGAAGAAGGTGACGAAGGACCAGCCTCTGCCCTAAAACTTCTATTTTGTTTTCTATAAATTATTATGTTCTAAAAGCTTTAATTGTGAATTTTCCACCATGTGATATTACACATTTCTAATCCAACTGCACATTCATCATTTTAGTTCTATTATTTAATTTTGGAAGCTTTCTCCGGGCTAAATGCAGCGTTCTCCTGGGGCTCAGTGCCTGCCAGCACAGAAAGGCTGAAATTCTCAGTATCCAGAGAATTCCCGGGGTTTTCCTGTCCCTTTGTCCCCTGCTGCCACCCGCGCTGTGCCCCGCAGGCATGAACGACTTCAGCTACCTGCACACCAACTGCTTCGAGATCACCGTGGAGCTCTCCTGCGACAAATTCCCGCACGCCTCCGAGCTGCCCGCCGAGTGGGAGAACAACCGCGAGTCCCTGCTGCTCTTCATGGAGCAGGTGGGGCACTGGGTGGCACCGGGGGTGGCACCGGGGCTTGGGGACACGGCTCGAGGGTGGCAGGAGCCACCCCGGGTCTGTCTGTGAGGAGGGGATGGGGTGGGATGGGAACGGGGAGACTGGGGGGAATGGGGGTGCTGGGACCAGGGGGACACTGGGGAAGGGAGGTTCGGGGTGGGGGATTGGGGGGGATTTGGGATATGGGGACACTGGAGGGGTCTGGGGGTGCTGGGACCATGGGGACACTGGGGAAGGGGGTTTGGGATAGGGGATTTGGGACATGGGGACACTGGAGGGGTCTGGGGGTGCTGGGACCAGGGGGACACTGGGGAAGAGGGGTTCGGGGTGGGGGATTTGGGGGATTTGGGACATGGGGACACTGGGGGAGGTCCAGGTGGTTCTGGGATCATGGGGATATGGGGAAGGGGGATCCAGAGTGGGGGATTTGGGGGGTCTGGGACATGGGGACACTGGGGAAGGGGAGTTCGGGGTGGGGGATTTAAAGGAATTGGGACATGGGGACACTGGAGGTCTGGGGGTGCTGGGACCATGGGGACACTGGGGGATCCAGGATGGGGGATTTTGGGGGGTTTTGGGGCATGGGGACACTGCGGGGGGGCGTCCAGGTGGTTCTGGGATCATGGGGATACTGGGTAGGGTCTGGAGATGCTAGGACAAGGGGGACACTGGGTGGGATCTGGGGACACTGGGTGGGATTTGGGGGTTTCTGGGACAATGGGGGCTCTGGGTGGGCTCTGGGGATTGCTGGGACAGTGGGGACACTGGGACACGGACAGGGCAGGGCCAGGGAACCCCCAGGGGTCTCTGTAAGGCTTTAGGGATGGGGGGGACACGCTGGGGACATTGCAGGGTGGCCATGGGCACGGCAGGGTTCAGGGGGGCTCAGCAGGATGGCAGCAGGACGTGGCTGTCCCCAAATGCTGAGGTGGCACCGGGAGGGGGGGACACACCTGTGCCACGCCCTGCAGGTGCACCGGGGCATCAAGGGCGTGGTCCGGGACAGTGACACCGAGCAGGGCATCCCCAACGCCATCATCTCCGTGGATGGCATCAACCACGACGTCCGCACCGGTACCGGGACACCGGGACGGGGAGGGGCGGGGTTTGGGGTGGGAACGGGATCGGGACCAGGCTGGGAATGAAGGCGGGATAGGGACAGTGACGGGATGGGGTGGGGACGGGGACGGGGGAAGGAACGAGATGGGATTTGGGATCGGGAATTGCAGATGGGGATGGAAATAGGATGGGACTGGGAAAGGGGGTGGGATGGGGACAGGAATGGGATTGGGATGGGGAGAGTAATGGGGTGAGGTTGGGAATAGGGAGGGGACAGGGATGGATGGCATTGGGGATGTGAATGGGACGGGGCTGGGACAGGGAAAGGAATGGGATGGGATTTGGGGGGGGGATTGGGAATTGCAGATGGGGATGGAAATAGGGCTGGGAAAGGGGATGGGGACAGGAATGGGATGGGGCTGGGGACAGGGATGGAAAGGGAACGGGACTGGGGATTGCAGATGGCAACAGAAGCAGGATTAGGCTGGGAATGGGGATGGGATCGGGACATGAATGGGATTGGGGGTGGGAGAAGGAATATGGATGGGACAAGAACGGGACTGGGGCTGGGGACGAGGACAGGAATGGGATTGGGGATGGGAATAGGGGTGGGGATGGGACAAGAACGGGACTGGGGCTGGGGATGAGGGCAGGGCTGGGGACAGGAGAGTGACAGCCGCCCCCGCAGCCTCGGACGGGGATTACTGGCGCCTGCTGAACCCGGGCGAGTACGAGGTGACGGCGCGGGCCGAGGGCTACGAGGCGGCCACGCAGCCGTGCCGGGTCTACTTCGAGAACGTTCCCACCCCGTGCAGCTTCCGCCTGGAGCGGGCGCGGGGCCGCCACCGGCCCGGGAGGACCCGGCCGGGCCCGGACCCGGCGCTGCGGCTGCAGCGGCTGCGCCTCCGCCGCCTGCGCGCCCACGGCCGCGGGCAGTGACCGGGGCGGCCCCGGGGCCGCGGGCTCGGCCGGGGGGCGCGGCAGGAACGGGCGGGACGGATCCAGTAAAGTTTGGGTGCGCTGCGGCTGCGAGTCTGCGGGGCTGGAGCGGCGGAGGGAACGGGAACGGGAACGGGAACAGGAAAGGGAACGGGATCAGGAACGGGAACGGGACCGGGAACAGGATCAGGACCGGGAATAGAACTGGGACCGGGAAAGGGAAAGGGAACGGGACCGGGACCGGGGCTCGATCCTGCCCCGGACCCCACCGTGGGAATTCAGCGAGGCCACGCCCCTAAGCAGGCCACGCCCATTCCTTGCGCATAAATAGCGCCGCCGCGGTAAAGCCCCGCCCGTTCGCTCCTGACCAATAGAAATTCCGCACCGAGCCGCGCCTCCATTAGGACACGCCCCTGTCCGTGGCATAAGTAGTCAATAACCACAAGCCACGCCCACCAGTCCACGCCCCTTTCCTGTTGCCGAGTGCTCCTGCACGGCCCCGACCCCTTCCCCCATTGGGTCGCCTGGCCCCGCCCCCGATGCGCGCGAGAACGCTTGTCCCGCCCCTCCCCTCATCTCTGGGCGCCTATTGGCTGCTGGCGGCGGCGCGGACCAATAGGATGCGAGATTCATCGGCGGCGCGGGGGCGGGGCTGGGGGACGCGGAGGGGGCTCGGTGACAGTGGGGGGACACCGGGGAGGTTCTTGGACAGCGGCGACAATGGGGACCTGCAGCGGGGCTGGCCCGAGAGCGCTGGCGCTGCTCTGGGGCTGCTGGGCCATGAGGGACCCGGGGGGGCCTGCGGAGTTCTGGGGACCCTGGGGACAATGGCCAGGCTGGGGGCTGCGGGAAGTGCCGGACCATGGGTGCGCTGGGACGGTCCGGGGGGCACTGGGGGGTGTTGGGGCTTTGGGGACACCGAGCGATGGTCTGGGGGGGCCATGGGGTCATGGCGGGGGGATCGGGCAGCACCATCAGAGCCAGCACCCCCTGAGCCCCAGGAGATGGGGGGCAGCGGCATGGGGCACCCCGAGTCCCACGGGAAGCCGGGGGGGCACTGGGGGCTTGTAGGGTACAAAAAAGGGGTTGGGTGACCCCCCCTGAACCCCCTTGTGGTCCTGCAGGGTGGGGGCTGTGCCCTGCTGGGCTCTGATGCCACCATGTCCCCCTCTCCAAATGAGGGGCTGGGCTGAGCCGCTCCTGGGGGTCCCCATGACACCCCCGGGGAGGCTCCAGGACGGGGCTGGGGGTCGAGCATCACCATGAGGATCCCCCAAACCCTCTGGGGTGACCCTGGGGTGACCCTGGGCAGGGCTGGGGGGGTCCCTACAGTGGGGACACCCCCTCTGCACCCCCAGCGCACTCCCCCGTAGCCGTCCATTGCTGCCCCATCGCCGGGATTTGGGGGTGACAGGGGTCCCGTGTAGTGTCCCCCCGCCACTGCCCGGGCCCCCCGTTCCCTGCGCTCCCCCAAATCCCCCCCCGTGACCCCATAACCTTCCGGGATCTCTTTATGGCATCATCGGCAGGGGCAGCGCTTCCCGCTCGGCGCCTGCGCTCGCCGCGCCACCGGAGCCTCCGCCGGCCTCGGCACGGCCCAAACCGGGGGTGTCCCCCCTCCCCCCCCACATCGTGCTGCCCCCGGAGCCCCCCAAAACCTGCCGGAGCCCCCACCCTGAGCGCCGCAGAACGATGGGCTGAACGCATCCGGCATCTCGCAGGCACAGGCCGGGCTGGGGGTGCGGCAAACAACGATCCCCCCAACCAAAAAAAGCCCCTGGGGGTGCTCAGGGGGTCACCGAGCCCCCCTCGGGCCGTGAGGGACCCCCCGCTTGTCCCCGAGGAGCCGCCGGTCCCGGTTTGAGGAGCGACAGCGCCGGGAGCAGCAGGTGGGGGGGGGAGGGCGGCCGGGAGGGATTTTGGGGGGGTTTGGGGCCGGGCACCCCCAGAGTGAAGGGTTTGGGGCACTTTGGGGACCCCCTTGCTGTGCCCAGCATGGGTCTGTCCCCCCAAACCTGGGGGAGGCTGTGCCCGTGTCCCCTCCTGTCCCCGTGCCCCCTCCCCTGTCCCTTCCTGTCCCTTCCTGTCCCCTCCTGTCCCTGCTGTCCCCGTGCCCGCCCCGTCCCCGTGCCCCCTCCCCTGTCCGCTGTCCCCTCCTGTCCCTCCCGTCCCCGTGCCCCCTCCTGTCCCTCCTGTCCCTTCCTGTCCCTCCTGTCCCTTCCTGTCCCCTCCTGTCCCCTCCTGTCCCTGCTGTCCCCGTGCCCCCCCGGGCCCTTTGCCCCTTTGCCCCGCTCTGTCACGGGCACAGCTCGGTGCCCACGCTCTGCCCACCTTTGCCCGGGGCGGGTCGTGCCGCGTCTCCCGGTGAGTGCCGGGGTCCCGGGGAGGGCGCGGCACCCCCAGATCCCGCAGCTCTTCCCCTGTGTCCCCATCCCCAGTGCCCCGGGTGTGCCAGGTAAAGCCCCTGCCCAGCTGGGGTGAGGGATGAACACCTGAGAGCCCAGCAAGGGCGGCGGGGAAGGGACCCCACACTTTTCCCCTTGTTTTTGGGGCACCCCCGGGTGGGAGCAGCACTGGCACTGCCCTGACCCCCCTGTGCCATGCCAGGGATGGGTCTGGGGGCACACCGAGGGTCCCTGTGAGGGTGGGCAGTGCCCTGACCCCCCTGTGCATTCCCACAAATGTGTTTGGGGGTATCCTGGGGGTCCCTGTGAGGGTGGGCACTGCCCTGACCCCCCTGTGCCATCCCAAGGATGTCTTTGGGGATATCCTGGGGGTCCCTGTGAAGGTTGGCACTGCCCTGATTCTTTGTGCCATCTCAGGGGTGGGTCTGGGGGTCCCCCATCCATGGCACTGCCCTGACCCCTTATGCCACTCCAGGGATGGGTCTGAGGGCACCCCGGGGGTCCCTGTGAAGGTGGGCACTGCCCTTGTGCCTCCCCAGGGATGTGTTTGGGGATATCCTGGGGGGTCCCTGTGAGGGTGGGCACTGCCCTGCCCCCTGTGTGCCATCCCAAAAACGGGATCTGGGGGTATCCTGGGCGGTCTCCATCCATGGCACTGCCCTGACCCTTTGTGCCATAGCCAGAGATGGGTCTGGGGGCACCCTGGGGGTCCCTGTGAGGCTGGGAAGTGCCTTGACCCCTTATGCCACCACAGGGATGGGTCTCAGGACACTCTGCCTGTCCCTATGAGGGTGGGCACTGCCCTGACCCCTTGTGCCACCCCAGGGACGAGTCTCAGGTCACTCTGTCTGTCCCTGACCCCCGGTACTCCCCCAGGATCCACCTCCCCCTACAGCACCCCCCAACCCCTCTCCGTGCCCCCGCAGGTGCCCCCATGGCGTTGTTCCGCATCCGGCAGTACCAGGAGCAGGACTACGAGGCCGTGCGGGCCCTGTTTGCCCGCGGCATCCTGGAGCACGCCCCGGCCGGCTTCCGGCACGTTCTGCGGGCGGCGCGGGTGCGCCTGGCACTCCTGGCCGTCTTCGTGGCGGCGCGGGCGGCCGCGGGCTCCTGGGTGCTGGGGCTGGGCGCGGTGGCGCTGGCGCTGGTGCTGCTCTGGGTGCTGGTGCGCTCGCTCAGCGCCGAGTACGTGCGCGAGGCGCTGGGCACCGACCTGTGCGACGTGCCCGGCGTGTACCAGCGCCCGCCCGACTGCCGCTTCTGGGTGGTTGAGGAGGACGGAGCCGTGGCGGGCATGGTGGCGGCGGTACCCGCGGGCCGCGGCGAGCTGGAGCTCAAGAGGATGTCGGTGAGCCGGGAGCACCGGGGCCGCGGGCTGGCGCGGGCGCTGTGCCGGGAGGTGCTGGCGTTCGCCCGCGCCCGCGGGTACAGCGCCGTGGTGCTCAGCACCTCCATGGTGCAGGTGGCGGCGCAGCGGCTCTACGAGGGGCAGGGCTTCCGCAGGGTGGGCACCTCGTACCCCTCGCTGCTGGGCACCTTGCTGAACTTCCAGATCTTTCACTACCGCTGTGAGCTGGGCGATGGAAATAAGTAGGGCCCGGGTGGCGCGGCCCCGGTGGCATGGCACCCCAAACCTGGCACTGCCGTGGCGCCCCAGCTCCAGCCCTGGCACGGCACCATGAGCCCGGGACATGAGGTGTTGCCGTGGCACGCGTGACGCTGCCGTGGCACCCGAACCCTGGCACCGCCGCTGCCCGTGAACCCTGGCACCGCTCTGGCACCCCAAACCCGGCCCTGGGACACCACCCCAGCACTCCGCCCCCAATCCTGGCACAGCAGCACTGGCACGGGAGACAGTGCACCACCGTGGCACACCAGCCTGGCACTGCCCTGGCACCGTGACACTGGGACGTGTGGCACTGCCCTGGCACCCCAGCTCCAGGACTCCACCGCAGCACTCCACCCCTGGCACGTGAAGCACCGCCATGGCACCCCCGATCCCCACCCTTGGCACAGGGGGCACCTCTGCGGCCCTTCCTGGGTTTCCAGCAGCAGGAAATAAAGAGAGACCTGTGGGAACAGTATGTGTGACAAGGGACATCTTGGGGCACGGGGGACATCCCCTGGGGGTAAGGGACAGCCTGTGGGACAGCGAACTCTCTGAGGGAGGGGGGATCCCTTGAGGGACACCTGGGTGGAAAAGGAGACATCTTGGGCGACACCTTTGGGGATAAGAGGCCTCTTGGGGAACTGGGGACACACTGGGGGACAACAGAGATTTTGGGGGAGAGGGGAAATCTTTGGCGACAGGCGAACACTTGGGGGGACAAGGTCTGTGCCCTCACCCAAGATGGCGGCGGTTCCCCTTTCTCGCTGCCCTCACCCAAGATGGCGGCGGTTCCCCTTTCCCACAGCCCTCACCCAAGATGGCGGCAGTTCCCCTTTCTCGCTGCCCTCACCCAAGATGGCGGCGGTTCCCCTTTTCCGTTGCCCTCACTCAACATGGCGGCGGTTCCCCATTCACCTGCCCGTGCCCTCACCCAAGATGGCGGCGCCCAGCCCGGCGTCACGGCGCGACGTTCGGGGCGTGGCGCGCTGAGGGAAGCGCCGGGACCGCCGGGTCCCGATCCCGGTCCCGGTCCCGGTTTCCCTCGGCCCATCCCGGTTCCCCCGTCCCGGCCGCACCATGGATTGTTACACGGCCAACTGGAACCCGCTGGGCGAGGAGACCTTCTATCGGTGAGGGGTGGCGGGGGCGACACCGGCCTGAGGGTGCTCGGGGATCCCGGGGCTGCTCGGGGGGGTCGGGGCGATGCCAGGGCTGGAATGGAGGTCCCGGAGATGGCTGGGGTGAGGTTCTGGGGCTACTTCGGGGGTTCCGGGGTAGCCACGGGACTGGCGGGGACGGGGGTCCCGGGGGGTTGAGGGGGTCCCTGGGTGGACACGAGTCTTGGGGCTGGCTGAAGATGGGGGTCCCGGGGGTGTCTGTGGGGGTTTGAGGTGTCTTGGAGGGGTCTCGTGGTGCCTGTGGATCTTGGGGCTGGCTGGGAAGGGGGTCCCGGGATGGTTGAGGGGTCCCGGGATGGTTGAGGAGTCCCAGGGTGGTCGTGGGGTTGGCTGGGAGGGGGGTCCTGTGGGTCGCTAAGGGGGTCCTGAGGTGGCCCCGGCTCCTCGGGCTGGTCTGGGGGATCCCTGGGGGTCTCTGGGTGTTCCCGGGGTGTCTGTGGATCTTGGGGCTCCTGAGGCCTGTTGGGGGTCTCAGGGCTGGTTTAGGAGTGGGCATCATCCATGGCTCTCCCATCCCTGCAACTCTTGCATGTCCGTCCATCCATCCATCGTCCGTCCATCCATCCATCCATCCATCATCCATCCATCCATCCATCCATCATCCATCCATCATCCATCCATCCATCCATCCATCCATCCATCCATCCATCCATCCATCCATCCATCATCCATCCATCCATCATCCATCCATCATCCATCCATCCATCCATCCATCCATCCATCCATCCATCCATCATCCATCCATCCATCATCCATCCATCCATCCATCCATCCATCCATCATCCATCCATCCATCCATCCATCCATCCATCATCCATCCATCCATCATCCATCCATCATCCATCCATCCATCATCCATCCATCCATCCATCATCCATCCATCCATCCATCATCCATCATCCATCCATCCCTCCATCCATCCATCCATCCATCCATCCATCCATCCATCCATCCATCCATCATCCATCATCCATCCATCCATCCATCCATCATCCATCATCCATCCATCCATCCATCATCCATCCATCCATCCATCCATCCATCCATCCATCATCCATCCATCCATCCATCCATCCATCATCCATCCATCCATCCATCCATCCATCCATCCATCATCCATCCATCCATCATCCATCCATCATCCATCCATCCATCCATCATCCATCCATCATCCATCCATCATCCATCCATCCATCCATCCCTCCATCATCCATCATCCATCCATCCATCATCCATCATCCATCCATCCATCATCCATCCATCCATCCATCATCCATCCATCCATCCATCATCCATCCATCATCCATCCATCATCCATCCATCCATCCATCATCCATCCATCATCCATCCATCCATCCATCCATCCATCCATCCATCCATCATCCATCCATCCATCATCCATCCATCCATCCATCCATCCATCCATCCATCCATCCATCCATCATCCATCCATCATCCATCCATCATCCATCCATCCATCATCCATCCATCCATCCATCATCCATCCATCCATCCATCCATCCATCCATCCATCCATCCATCCATCATCCATCCATCCATCCATCCATCCATCCATCCATCCATCATCCATCCATCCATCCATCCATCCATCCATCATCCATCCATCATCCATCCATCCATCCATCCATCCATCCATCCATCCATCATCCATCCATCCCTCCATCCCTCCATCCCTCCATATCCCATCAGGAAGCTGGAGCTCTACTCCATGGAATGGGGGCTGCGGGAGGATCTCCGTGACTGTGTGGTGGCAGCTGCCCCATATGGGGGTCCCATAGGTGGGTGCAGCCCCCCGAGCCCCCCTCCCCGAGCTGGGGCTGTGCCATCCTTGGCTCAGGGACTGTCCCCTCCTTGTCCTTGTCCTTGTCCTTGTCCCAGCTCTGTTGAGGAATTCCCGGCGGGACAAGACCCCCAGTGCCCGCCCGCTCCTGGAGATCTACTCGGCCTCGGGGCTGCTCCTGGCCAGTGTCCCGGTGAGTGGGGACAGCCTGGGCTTGGGGACAGGGCTGTGGGAGCAAGGGGAGAGGGATGGGAGCTGCCCTGGCATGGGAGAGGATGGGATGGGTTTGGAGCAAGAGAATCCTCTCCCTGCTCCCCTGAGATGGGACAGGAAGATGGGATGGAGTTTGGAGCAGGAGAATCCTTTCCCTGCTGATGAGGGATGGGACAGGAGGATGGGATGGAGTTTGGAGCAGGAGGATCCTCTCCCTGCTGATGAGGGATGAGAGAAGAAGGTGGAATGGGGTTTGGAGCAGGAGAATCCTTTCCTTGCTGCCCAGGGATGGAAGAAGAGGATGGGATGGGTTTGGAGCAGGAGAATCCTTTCTCTGCTCCTCAGGAATGGGACAGGAGGTTGGGATGGATTTGGAGCAGGAGAATCCTCTCCCTGCTGATGAGGGATGGAAGAAGAAAGTGGAACGGAGTTTGGAGCAGGAGAATTCTTTCTCTGCTGATGAGGGATGGGACAGGATGGGATGGGTTTGGAGCAGGAGAGTCCTTTCCCTGCTGCCCAGGGATGGGACAGGAGGGTGGGACGAGGACTGGAGCCACAGGAACATCCTCCTTCCCCCCTGCCTGCTGCTGAGGGGGACATGGGGCAGTGGAGGGACAGTGCCAGGACCTCAGGGACCTGCAGAGCCAGGACACGTGGGGTGTTGGATGTCTGGATGAGGTGCTGGACCTCTGGATGAGATGCTGGACCTCCAGGTGGGGTGTTGGACCTCTGGATGAGGTGCTGGACCTCGGGATGAGGTGTTGGACTTTTGGATGAGGTGTTGGACCTCCAGGTGAGATGTTGGGCTTCTGGATGAGGTGTTGGACCTCCAGGTAGGGTGTTGGATGAGGTGTCAGTTCTCTGGATGAGGTGTCAGTTCTCTGGATGAAGTGTTGGATCTCTGGATGAGGGTTGGGCCTCAGGGTGAGGTGTCCAAGCTGTGCCCAAGCTGTCAGAGCTCAGGCACCCCCGGTGTGTCCCTGGAGGGCCGTCCCTGGCTCAGGGCTGACCCTTCCCGTGCCATTCCCAGTGGAAGAGCGGCCACCTGGTGCACCTGGGCTGGACGGCGGGGGAGGACCTGCTGTGCATCCAGGAGGATGGGACCGTCCTGGTCTACAACCTGTTCTGCGAGTTCAAACGGCATTTCAGCATGGGAAACGTGAGGGAACGGGGTTTGGGATGGGGTTTGGGATGGATTTGGGATGGGGCAGGTGGGAAGGGACCTCACAGCCCGTCCCATCGCACCCCTGCCCTGGGCAGGGACAACTTCCACCATCCCAGGTTGCTCCAAGCCTGTCCAGCCTGGCCTTGGACACTCCCAGGGATTCAGGAGCAGCCACAGCAAATCTGGGAATTCCATCCCAGCCCCTACTCACCCTCAAGCCAGGAATTCCTTGCCAAGATCCCACCCCAATCTCATCTTTTCCGTTTTCCCCTCCTTCCGCCCCTTGTGAGATGCCCTGGGTGGGGTTCGGGGGATGCAGAACGGGCTCCTTGGGGCACCTCGGGGAGCCAGGGGCTGCCCCATCCCTCGGGGAGGAGCTGGGACCCATCCCAGAGAGCAGAACATTCACTGCCCGCCTCCGCCGAGCCCCGGTGTCGCCGGTGTTGCCAGTGTCCCGTCCCGCCGTGCCCTGCAGGAGGTGCTGCAGAACCACGTGCTGGAGGCGCAGGTTTTCCACACGGAGTTCGGGACGGGCGTGGCCATCCTGACGGGGGCGCTGCGCTTCTCCCTCGCCACCAACATCGACGACCTCAAGCTGCGCCGCCTGCCCGAGGTCCCCGGTGCGTGTCCCCATGTCCCCCTCTGTCCCCCTCTGTCCCACTCTGTCCTCCCTGTTCCCCTTCTGTTTCCCTGTCTCTCTGTCCCCAGTCCTTGTTGTCTCCCTGTCCCTGTGTTGTGTCCCCACTGTCCCTCCTGTCCCCCTGTGTCCTTCTCTGTCTACCCTGTCCCCACTTTGTTCCATGTGTCCCCTCCTTGTCCCACCATCCCTCAGTGCCCTCTGTCCCCAGTCCCCTCTGTCTCTCTGTCCCATGTGTCTTCCCTGTTCCCTTGTTCCCCTGTCCCACTTCTGACCCATCTGTCTTCCCTGTTCCCCTTCTGTTTCTCTGTCCCTCTGTCCCCCCATCCCCTTATCCTTCTTTGTCCCTCTGTCCCCAATTCCCGCTGTCCCCTTGTCCCACATGCCCCTGTTCTGTCCCTACTGTCCCTCCTGTCCCCTTCTGTCCTTCTCTGTCCCCTCTGTACTCCCTGTTCCCCTTCTGTTTCTCTGTCCCCCTTCC